TTCCTACGTTCTCACCGTTCACTGAAATACCGCCTCAGTGACACGGATTCCAGCTCGTTCATTTTCATTATCACCATCATCATAATTCTTTTACTTCTAATCTTATCATCATTCAGAAAACTAAATGGTGCTACTACCTACGGAGCTGCCCACACAGCACATTACAGCTTCCATTCATCCCAAAAGTTGGTGTGAAAATGTTCACTGCAGAAATTAAAAGGCATCTAAATAAATGTGCCTGCAATTATAATCTTCATTATTATCATCATCATTATTGCAATTGACCCAGTTATGTGAAGCTGTCCTGATCTGCTATTAGCAGATTTGAACACCGCGCGATCCATCATGATCATGTGTGACTGCCGCCAAATATTAATAAATCCATTGACAAACACCAAATTCATCCAGGCATAGAACACACACTTTCAGTCAACAAAACATTATCACATTAGTACCTTATCCTGTTTTATCATATCAAGCCTTTATTTTACTTATTTGACAACAGTCATTCCTTTATCAAATATAATAATTATTTACATATTTATTGCTTATTCATCTTTATCATTTTTTATCTATGATATATCTGTTTCTTTTTATACAATCATTTATCTGTTCCTTTTTATCTTTCACTAACTATAAGTTCATTGTTTTACTTAAATATTAAGGTCACTCGCACTGTCCAAATAAAATCAGGGTTATCAAAGGGTCTGACCTCAGAGTGAACATTTTCCTCTGAGGTGACAAAAAGTTGCAGTATGACGTCACCGAGAAAACAATACCCAAACCCTCGGCATACAGCTCACTGTCATTATATTACCCAAGTCAACATTATGACATATAAAACCATCCTTATCAAATGAGCTGGCAAACAAAATATTATTTCAGAAGATAAAATGTGGAGACGGATCTAATTTGAGACAACTTCGCTGCCTGATATATATACCATTACAGAGTGGCCTAAAATTAATTATTTGGGGCTAATAAATAACATATATAAAGAATAAAAAAATTAAAAAAGCCAAATCAAAACTGGAGCCAGTGGAACCCTCACCAGATTTATTCCATTACACGTGTTGCAATGTGGTCAATGTCACCTTTACTGGTCAGATCCCACGGCCAAGATGATAACATTTCATCAGACTGTTCAACTGATAGGGATTCTCATGATCAATAACATACATATAAGGCATCATGGCCCGACGATATGAAATACTGCTTCAGCAGTTGAGTACTTTTCTTCTTTTTTTTTTTTTAATCAAATTCTTCTGTCACATGGACTTTGCATCTGTTATCTTAAAGCTGATATGGCATCGCGTCCAGACAATTATTGTATAGATCTCTCTACTATAGACCCACTAGGCGATGACAGTTGCCGTGTAAAAAATCCTCTAGAAAATTCTCTCTATGCAGAACAGAAATAACCACAGCTAGTGAACAGCAAGAGAAACATTTCTGAATATCTAATGAAAGTAATTCCTCTACGTGGCCCTGGTAATGGAATGTTATTTTAGCATTTAACTAGTTCTTTAATTTGTTTTTTTTTTTTTTTTTGGTAACAATCAGACTCGTGCCGTGGGCTTTTACATTAGTCAGGTCATATTCAGCATCAAAAGGCATTGCATTATAATATTTATTTCATTTTTAAGGTTTGTTAGCACAAATTTGGAGGACACTAACACAATTTTCATGAAAATCAATTCCTATTTTCCAGCACTCACTAACAGTGACAGATATGATCCGTATAATCAGTTAAGGTCCAGTACACCTGAGTTCAATTCCTATAGAAGCAACTGTAGCTTCCTGTAATATATGTCAAGTAAAACACATACATAAATATATGCATTATTCGTCAATGAGCCCCATGTTAACGACAAAATCAGAAATTACATCTGAACGTATTTTTCTGGCTGAACTTAACAATTAAGACCCGACTTCATCATTAGTAATATCAATCTTAAAAGACCTGATGATGCAACACACCACCATTCTTACCTTGTGTCGTTCGATATTGCTCTTGAATTAATTAGGCAGCCATTAACAGCTGAGCAAAATAGCCGCAGTTTCAAATGTCACCGGCTCGTCACAATGCGTGGCTTTATGCACGTAGCCAGTTGTCGAATATTCCCCGTCAACTACTGAGCCAGCTAAATGAGTAATGCACCAGCTCTTATCTCCTCTCTTTATAATCTACAGTGGGCGCCTTATCGGTACTGGCTTCTCAGGTCTCCGCTTTTCTGTCAGAGGTTTTAAATTCCTATTTTAGGTTGATAACCGATGGGGTCAGAGGCCTCTTATGTCAACAGACTCTCCTATTCTTGGGTCGAGAGAGAGAGAGCGAGAGAGAGAGAGATGAAGAGAGAGCAACGAACTTACCAACCAGTCAATTTAAGAAGTATCCAAGGTTAATAATAATATCAAGTCCCAGATAAGTAATATCCATTATACTTAAGTCTCTGAAAAAATCCTATAAAATAATTTTACACATTAGCAACATGAGGTAAATCTATCACAAGGCATCGTCAATATACATTGCTCTAATAGCCTGAAATGTGTTAGAGGCGACAGCTTACAAACAGTGTCTTATTAATAATGACAGGAAAATATTTTCTCACCCAAAATTGAATACATTGACCTGGAAACACGCCAAGATTATAACCGACTGAGCAAATCCAACCTTTTTGAAATAAATCCTAAAACAATTAACTGCAATTTAGCAGACAAGTAATCTGGCAACACAGGACTGGAATCTCCAGATAATTATCTGCCATTCAGGGGATTTCAACTTCAATGCAATCAATAGATTCTTCCATTTATCAAAGTCAGGCTAGAGCCAAATAGTTACTGGAGATTATATCGACTTTCTAAAATAAACTTGCCAGGTCTTCCATAATCTGCTCCAACTCGCATTACACATTTCACTCAGATGGAAGGAGGAAAGAAGTGAATCAAAGAAGGAAAGAAGATGTGAACTGGGCAGAATGGCAGCAATATACTGATTGCTCACTTCTGTTTATTTATATATCTATAAGAAAGGACTATTACACCTCTATTTCATCTTCGACAAAACATTTCTATTTCTTTTCCTTGGCTTCCTTTCTTTTTCAATTGCCATAAAACTTCAAGCATGTCTTTTGCATCTTACAATCACAATTGAAAAACGTCAAGCAAACTGTGAACATGAAAATGCTTTATAAGTAATTCTATCTAAAATCTGACTACATGCAGATTGTGACTCTCTCACTGTTTGCTACTAGTATGTTTTTTTTTCTCAATGGATAAACTTATAAGAAAAATCCAAAAACTGCACCATACAAAAAAAATCATATCATCAACACAGTGACCCAATTGGCACTGAGCCACCCCTCCACTAATTTCTCCGTTGGCAGTTCACAAGTCCATGCTGTAATTAGACTGAAGTACCTGGGCGATGTGTAACCTTGGTGGTGACCTTGGTGGTGACCTTGACTTCAAAAGTGGACCAAAGTTTTTTCCTCCTCCCTGCACATTCATCAATTCTTTGTTAACTTCACTAGTTTGCACTTCACTCAATTAAAAAATTATAAAATCACTGTCTATTTCTGTAACTAAATTTCATCTTTAGAACTCAGTCTTCATTGCTGTGCACATCTAGATGAAATCTCCTTCATCGTTATTATATCAAGTGTGTTGATAAATCCTCCTTCTACTCAGTCCCTTTCACATTTTTCCTGGATTACCACTACATCATTTACGCATGCCACTTAACAAGTATGCAGCATAACTTATAAATTGAAAATCTGAAAGAACATCTTTTTATATTGAAAAGAAAAATCAAGATCTGTTTTCACATGATAACAGCAATACAGGTACAGTACATTAAACCAACTGAAAAATTCATTTTCCACCTGACAACCTGTAACTACAGCTTAGCAAGGAATGTCAATGCAATGTTTTTTCACTCCATTTCTTATTTTATTTCATTTAGACATGACCTTGAAATGCAATCACACAAGGGGATCATAACAGGCAAAGTCAGGGCTGCATGGGTTCCTCAATTTAATCCAACTTTTTCAAAACAACATCTTGTGGATGCACTTTATGCGTGGAGAGATAAAATCAATTCCTACCTTAAGGCTTAACTATACCCTGGAAAAAAATAACATTGGATCTCTCTCTCAAAGTATTTGATTTTCAGCCAATTGCCTTGATCTTTAGGGTCACATGTAAAATACACACTGGAAGACATTCTTCCAGGAATCAAAATGCCAGCACATTTCTTTCAGTTCCCATCAGGTGAAGGGAGCATGATGGAAGGCAAATAACATTTTCCCCGATGTTCCACTATTGATTCTACCATACATCTCTCCCAGCCAGCTAAAACATTGGCACATCTCTGAAGGATCTGTGTTCAAAATAACAGCCAAAAATGGAGAAAAAGAAAAAAAAAAAAAAAAAAAGAGGGTGATATTGAACATCTTCGGCAGCAAAATTTGGCAAAGAATTAAAAAAACTTACTTGGTTGAGACATGCTTCTGTTGTCATGCCAACTGTTGCCACCCTCATGGGAAAGTTCTTAGTTTGGCTCCTCTTGGGTTGAATCCATGTCCTCTTGCAAACTGTCATGTGACTTGTCTCCATGACAACGTGCATATTTTTTGTCTTTCGTCTTCAGCCCCTCTGTTGTTTCCATGACAGTGATCATATCAGTTGAGTTTCCAAGGCAAAAACATTCGTCAAATTGTCCTTGTCTATGTCACTTTTTTTTAAAGTTTTTTTTTTCCTTACATGTCTGACACAGAAGCATTTTTGTTCATTCAAAATACAATGCTCACACACCAGACCAGACAATATATAACACAACACAAAGACAAAGACGAACAAAACATACATACAGATTCATTTGCACAATAAACAACACAGCCTAACAATCTTTTGAAGAAAAAAAAAAAAAAACGACATTCTCAGCAGACACATAGACAGAGACTGACGCCCACACTCATCGCACACAGTTAAAGACTTACATTGGTTCCCTGAGTTTGGCGACATCTGAGGACTCAAACTGGCCATCTGAAAGAACAAGAACACAGATTTTATAAAACTGCTATTTTAACTTATGTCAAATCAAGGGACACTTCATCTGTTCTCCACTTTTTCCCCTCACTGACACACCCTTCTTCTTTTCTACCATCCATCCATCCTTCCATCCAGTCATTTGGCCCATTTTCAAGTCAATTTCCAAGTCTCTACACCATTGGAAATTGACCTTAGATCAGCAGATCACTGCAAATATTTTAATTATTATTATTATTATTTTTTTTTTTTTTGTTTTTTTGAGTTTTTAAATTACCTTTCTCAGCACTGGCCTATTATTCCAAGTCAAAGGTTTCACGTATAGCGCTTTGCGCCTGGTATAAAGAGGTGGAACCGACATACTGAATTCCAAAACGCACTTCTCAAAACATACAATACAACTAAAATGTCATCTAAATCCAAAACTGTTGTAGTTCTTCAACAGACAACTTGCAGATAAGCTAGCAGATCCGTAGGTACACGCCCAACTTTGTTACATGGCACTCATTACCAGAGCACTCTCGACGATGAAGACACAGAGATATGGCGCGAGAGTCACTAACAGCAGCAGCGCCACAAGACAAAGTGCAGTGACGGACGAGTAGTCTTGATCCTATCAGCTAGAGAGTAAGCACTCTCTAAGACACTGAGCCAGAACTGCTTCGATTGGATCAAGTTTTTAATCCTCCAGTTATTGATGTGGTGGCACTAGCACAGCTATTCTATGTAATGTCAGATAAATTGAGTTAACAGGAATAAAAACCAGCAGATCTTACGCAGCAACTACCAACAGAGAAAGCAATTCACCCAGTAACCACGAGTAATTGCCTGGCTGTCTGTTCTTCTTTTGAGAACATTATCTTTTCTATCTTTTCCTCCTGATTTGAACATTGAGCCGTCTTGGGACTACTATAACCCGATACAAAAACCGCGTGTTCAGTGTTCCTCAAAAGGCCATTATGTTAATCTGAATCCACGACATGTGCCAGAACCCTAAGCTGCTGCTAATTTGCAGCAAAGCGCTCTGCAGAGTTTTGCCGGCAAATTATCAAACCTTTTTATCCACAGTAATTCTTATCTAATCCAGCATCTGGTTGCATGTCTCCCCTGCCCCTTTCCCCTCCCTGCTGAGCCAGCCCCTGGGTGGTGGATGCCCCCCCCCCCAAGGAATCACTTTTCAAACACAATGCAATTTAAGAGACTGTACTACTACCCAGGCACGCGTACAGTGGTGGGGAAAAAAGCGGAATTGAATTGGCATTTCTGCACTGCAATGCCCCTTTCAAGACTAACAGTGTTATGTGGTGGTAAATGCTTCACACTTCCACAACTCCAGAGAGAAAAAAGAAAAAAAAAAGAGAGAGGGGGGGGAGAGGGAGAGAGAGCGAGAGAGATCCAAAAGCTCTACCAAAACTATCAAACTGGTATTTGCAACAACAGTTCTTCCCTTCTCTCATTTTTCAGACCCTCGTATTTGCATCAAAAGTTCTCCCATTTCTATTTTTTGACTCTCGTCCCGCATTTTTTAAAAAGTAGAACAACCCAAGTGTTTTGCAGAATCCCAATGTAAAGCAATGACTGGATCTTTACATTGGGGAGAATCGGGTTCCCTGGCTAAGAACTTACTAGTAATTACCAACGTTACATAGTCACATCTTACCCTATCAGGAGCAGTGTTTCAATACTCTCATGGAAATCCTAGTCAACTAAGCCGGGAACTGACTTTATTTATTTATTTATTTGTTTATTTATTTATTATTTTTTGTGTGTGAAACTTGGGCCAGACCAGACCAGAAATAATCTGACAGGTGCTACCAAGGCTTGTATCAGACCTCTGCTGCAAGATACCATGTCATCTGGGGTGGGGTACTTTAGGTCCAAGTTAGTCTTGATGTGAATGAGGCCAATGGGGGCCGTTATTCCCACAGTGACAGGTTTATCGAGCCATTTTCTCCTCAAACAAAAGAGGGCTGCAGCACTCTGGGTGATCAATCAAGCACTCAATAATAACAATATGGCTGCAGCGCACTGATTCAGAATCCCATTTCCATTTGAATGTATTCCCAGTGGAGATAAAAACCACCACGGAAAGTGAAGATTCCTAGGAATGTAGCGTGATGCCACAGCCAAAATTTCCATGAAAACATCTTGCATGAGCAGGGCCTTGATTACACTTCACAACTACCCTACATGCAATTCTAACATATGTTATTTCATTTACACAAGACTTTTTAATTTTTTTTTTATTTAGTGGTGCCATCAAATACCTTTCCCTGTGTGTCTGTATTAAGTGCCTGGCTGTGGAAGTCTAATAATTTAGCCAAGCCAATCAATATAACTGCAGGATAGTCCAGGATTTTTTTCTTTCTTTCTTTTTTTTTTTCCATAAAATCATTTAGATCTGTCACGATGACTTGATAGCAATGCTTCTCGTTTCACATTGTCTCATCTTCGTTAAAGGTTACCTCATTACTGCTGCCTCCCAGTGGAAGTAAAGCAATTTGGAGAAAAACTTTAACGAAATCATTTCAACTGAAACTTAACTGAAAATTTTAAATATCAGAGTGGCTACATCTTACAGATCTAATTAATACTAGTGTTAATATTAATATTAATAAATAAATAAATAAATAAATAAATAAATAAATAAAAATAATAAAGTTAAATGAAAAGTCAATATCTGATGAGATTAATGCTACAGTCATAAGAATTTTCATTGAATAATTTACTAACTGTCTAGAGGAAACGTAGCATTTATACTTTTTTCTTTCTTCTTTCCTTTTTTCTTCTTCTTTGCCTTACACTGGTATACAAAGCTTAAATACCAAACAACCAAACAGTCAAGGATAGATGGGATAATTTGTTTGAGCACCATCTTTCTCAGATAATGTTACGTACGAGTCAGGCATAGCTTCAGGCAGCTGCATTGTTTCCCTGCTTGCTTATCAATGGAAACCACATTGTTGTGCAGAGTTTTTTTTGTTTTTTTTTCTCCAGGCTAGGAGACACATTATCTGGATTGTGTAATGGCACTGATTGCCATTCTGCCTAACTTCATGTCAACTCGTGTTTCGTGCTGTCACGTCCTGTATTATTCGTGTGGATAAACAAACACAATGGTTCTCTGCAAATGTGGGTAGGAGATGCACATGCGCTTTTATTCGTGCCAACACACACCAACGCACACACACACACACAATATTAGAAAACTGCAATTTTATGATATATGTTACACAAACACAAACAGGAATGCATGTGCATGCACTACATGGCAACATACACATACCATTGCCATAAATAAATTAATCCAGACAAAAGGACATAATACAAATCAGTGTTTGGACAGATTTTGGTAAAGCAACAAGCTGTGGATAAAACAAACAAACAAATAAACAAACAAACAATCAAAAACTTGCTGTAGCGGCAATATGAAGACCCATTTTTTTTGTTTGTTTGTTTTAAACCTTGGCCACAGATACTCCCGGCATTCATAGTCAATAAGCATGAGGCAGACTTAAAAAACAAACCCCACAAATCAATTCCCTAAGTGGAAAAAGGAAAACCCTAAACAGACTTTTATTGAATAATTTTCCCTTAGCACTTCTTACAGGTTTCGTGGAATCAGACTGTGCTGTTAACACTTCGCAGACTGCTCCCACAGGGTACACTTAACACAATTGTCGCCAGAAATTCAATTGAACAGTGCAAAGGTGGTTTTATCCTGTTTTATTATTCTGTACATTATGGGCACAGTGACTGCATTTATCAAAGCAGCTTCATACTCCTTTAAAGTTTGACTTGCTATGGAAGTCAATGCAATTCCAACAGTAGCCACATTTCATTTTGCCTCTGAATAGTAAGAATAGTTCAACCTAGGCTACAATTGGTTAAGGGGCTATGTTGGAAGTCCACACAAAATGAGCTTCTTATTGCATATGTGCATACATGCATGTACACAGGCGCACACACACAGTCACGCGCACGTGGTCAAATCACAAACCGAGGCTATTCTGGATATTACTGATACAAAGCTGTCAAGTTACAGCTGCAACTGGTTGCTGCTGAACAGATTTCTCAACAAGCACAATGTTGTGTCACAACAACCACAATGGAGAGTAATATGCATAGTAAGCACATACACCAGCCATGTGAATTCCAGGACACATGTATACATACCGACATGCCTAATAAAATGGAAGCCAGGATGAAATGGTTGAGCGGCAAGTCCATGTTTTTTTTTTTTTTTTTAAGCTATCTATCTCTTTTCATGTATAATTTAATCATTGTGCCTCCTCTACACCCAAAAAAATACACACAGTTTAAGCTTTTCTTTTAAATCTTTACTATCTCATTCTCATTTCTTATTAAATGCATCATTTAAATCCAAAAGAAAAACTACATGTAATCATTAAGGCACCTATTCACTATACAAAGCATGTCTGCAGTTAATGGCATGAAAGTTGTCCTTTTAATTTCAACAAATCCAAAGTACGGAGTACAACAAATCCAAAGTACGGAGTACAACAAAGTTGCTAGTAATACTACATTATTTTTAGGTCTACGGGTCAACTTTACACAAACCTTAAGCACTATAATCAGGATTTTGCATGACAAAAAACAGTAAAGCTACCAAATACAACCTTGACATAAGTTCATCAAACTCCCTCAGGTCTGAGCTCGAGATATTTTTACGACAGTAGTCAAGTGCAGAGGTAATGAGGGGGACTAAATCTGCCATTGTATCGGCCGTCTGTCTTGAGGTGCAATGCAGCATGAGAAAAATCTTCCTGTCCCAGAAATGTAATGTACGGAAATCTTCATTTGTGTACATGAAACCTGCCCAGAAGATAGCAGATCCATTTCACTGATACCTCATACAATATTGGCAGCTTGTGATCAGGGCCAATGCATTCATTGTTTACCTGACCCAACGTTTGCCCCATGACTAGGTGGAACATATATTTCTTATACCTTACCAACTAAATTCAACCTAAATG